CCGTTTGTCACTGCAGAGATAAGCAGAATCAGCTGACCCAGGGCAGACCTGAGATGCAGCACATCCTAAGGTCACAGCCAAGGTAGCTGTGTTTTTTAGGACGTGGCATTTGCAGATGCCAGCACCTTGGGCCCCTTGTAGATTGGAGGTAAAATGTCTGACTTGGAGGCCCCTTGTTGCTGAGCCCACGGCAGGTGGTGGCGATCGAATGTCCTCTCTCTTCTGACCAGCTGGCTGTGTGTGCTAAGCAGTGGTGACTTCACCCGTCCGGCCTGATGCTAGAAAAACAAGCGGAGCCCACGGTAGTTCTTGTAACTTATCCTGGGAGAGAGAAGCCATAGGTGGGATCCCAGGAGAGATCCCTTGATGCATTCACTCAGCAAATACCTGTTGCAGGTGGTAATTACCCACCATGTTATCTCACAGGGTATCTATTAAAAAAGCCACAAGAGAGACCTCCAAGGTGTGGGCTGGGAGAGCTAACGTGGTATTTATTTGTTTTGAATAATAAAAGGTGTCTTTCCAGACCCTAGGTGTTAAAACTAGGAAGGCTGGTTAAATCTTAATCAGTAATTGTCTAATCTCCTTTGGGCTTCTCAAACTTCAGTTTCGAATTGCTTGGGGAACTTGTTAGGATTACAAACCTTGGCCCTAACCTCAGAGATTCTGACTCAGTCAGGGATGGGGTCCACTAATCATCGGTTTTAAAAACAAGAACCAGTGTAATTCCAATGGGAGCAGGTGAGCTAGTCACTGGGGTTTTAGAAACCCGGGTGTAGGGAGGGTGGCTGTATTTGGGGGCCGCAGATCAGAAAGACCTGGGAAATACATGCCGTCCCCCTTCCCTTCTGACCTCTTCTGCCCTGGCGAGCCACTTTTACTTATGAGAGTATTATTTCTTCCTCCTATGGGTGAAGCAGAAAATTTGAGAACCAGCTGCTCTAAATAAAACAATGGAAGGCGGAGTTCAGGTTGAAGGCTGTCAGAGGATGCTTTTGTTTTTCTTTGAAATTTTTGGGAAAAAGGATCTAAGGATTTTGGCAAATGGGGTCTGGCTCCAACCCTTTAGAACCTGCCCGACTCCACCTGTTCCACCTGTTGGGACCAGGAGGCAGAGCAGGAGGAGCCCGCCCTGGCTCAGACCTCCTGCTGACACTTATCAGCCGTGTAATCTTGGGTTTAAACTCAAGCTTGGGCTTAACCTTTGTGTGCAGCACTTTGCTTATGAATAACTGGAATCTGCCTGCCTCCTGTGGGCTGAGCCAGAGATAGTAGAGCTGGCATATACAACAGCATCCGCCTTGGTGCCTGTCAACAGGAAGGCTCTAAAGTGGGCTTCTCAAAGCTGGAGTTGCTTGGAAATCACCCTGGGACCCTGTGAAAATGTAGACTCTGATGCAGCGGGTCTGGGGCAGGCCTGAGAGTTTGCACTTTCAGCAGGCAAGGTCAATGCCGCTGGTCCGTGGACCACACTTTGAGTAGCAAGGGTCTGAAAGTTGTGCCCCTCCCTAGGTTTGCTGTGAACTGTTAGTGCAAATAGTCAACTAACTTAAAAAGCTACAATTCTTTTTTCAGTCCAAGAAATAAGAAAAAATATCTATCTTTTACTTAACTCTGATCCTGAAAATTGGGGCACAGAATGCTTTCAGCCATAAACACCAATTTCCCTGGTCTCTCAAATTATGATTGTTCCCAATAACAATTGCAGTATTGAAGAAGAAGGCAGAGCAAGGGGTGATCTGCTCTGTGGGCTGGGAGGGGTTACCAAGAGTACGGCTTGGCTTCAGATGTGCAGGATAAAGGTGGTCCTTAGGGGTCAGGGGTTGTGTCCTTAGGGCACCTAGAGCTTGCCTGTGACTTAAAGGTTTTTAAAAGAAAACAAAAAAAAATGAGAACATCTTTCCTTCTTCCATGAAATCAACTTTAACTAAATGTCAGCATCTTCTGGAGGGGCTGTTAAAATGCAGAATGCTGGGCCACACCCCCAGAGCTAATTAAGTAGGTCTCAGGTGGGGCCTGAGAATTTGCATTTTCAGCAGATTCCTGGGTACTACTGAGGATTACAACATGACTAGTACAAAAGATGGTCTTTGAGAGCAGTGAGGATGGAGATTGGTGCTGTCAGCCTGGGCTACCTCCTCACAGTTCTGACCCCTCCCATCAAAGTGGCCTTGCCAGGAAGGGGTGTCTAAGCTGGGGTGCGATTTGGGGTGTGAATGGGAGATTCACCTGTGCTTGGGTATCTGAAGGTCCTCCTGAGGATTAGGAGAGATTAGACTTCCGGAAAGGGAAAACCATCCTGATGGCACAGCTGCCTGCAGACAGGGAGTCCCAGCACCGGTCCCCCAGGGCTGGGGCTCTCTCATCTACCTGTTTGGCTGATCACCTGGGGGAACTTTTTAAAAACAGAGCTTCGCGGGGTGCATCCTACGAGATTCTGGTGAGCAGCTCAGTTTGGGTGGCCCTGCGTGGAGAACGGCAAAGCACCACGTGGGCGTCGGAGAGCTGCTCTCGTTTTTAATGATTCTTGGATTCAACCCTAATGATTACTCAGCAAGCAAATGACTCCCCCGGTAGGAAATTGGACCCTTCGTGAAGTACATTTGCTCGCTAGAACCCTAAAGTTATAGTCAATAAATTCCGGCTGCATTTTCTAAAGTGTTTTATTTCCCATCTGAGGACGGCTCCCTGCCAGGAGCATCTGGCCGGGGGGATTCATCTGGTGTGAAGCCCACACCCCACCCGGGAATAACACTGTCCACGGCCACTCTGCACTGGGCAGTGTTGAAAAGTGCAACCAATAAAAGTCACTGATAACCAAGTTCCAGAGAAAACACTTCCCAGACACACTCAGCAGCATAGAGCGTATCTGCATGCAAAAAGTCAGGTTAAAGTTTGCGAAATTACTTAGATAATAGTCCAAGGAGGAATTCCCCCTTCTGTTTGTCATGCACGGATTTGAAGACTGTGGTCTTCCCTTGAGTGTCCTGACTCACTGGCAAATGCTTGAGAGCGTCACTGGATGCTGTGCTCTGTGCCAGGTGGGGGTTTATAAAGGTGACCCAGGTATAGTCCCTGTCTTTGTGGAGCCCACTGCTGGGGAAAGACAGAAACGTAAGCACCTAACTGTAAAAAAGCAGAACTCCTAGAGTAGCCCGTATCTAAAGTAGTCCTCCCCACACCCTCCCTCCCCTCGCCCAGTTTCGTTTTCTCCACTGCACTTGGCACTATCAAAATGACTGGCTGTACCTGCTTGTACCTTGTCTTCCCCCTTACACAGGAAGCAACGTGAAGGCAAAGACCAGACCTTTAGACCCTGGCCTCTCCCGGCCATTGGATGTGGGCCACCCCGAACGGCACGAGGGCAGCTCTCTGGAGCTGAGGCGTTCTGGAGGGGGCTGCTGGCTGCCGGCTGTCTGCCCACACCCTGCCAGGATCTGGGCAGATGCTTAGGGAGGACCTGGGCAGCCGCAGTGGGTCTCAAACCTTGGCATGCATCAGAATCCCCTGGAGGGCTTGTTAAAACTCCGATGGTTGGGCCCACCCCAGAGTTTCTGATCCAATAGGTCTAGGATGCAGCCAGAGAATTTCTAATAAGTACCCAGGTGATACTGAGGCTGCTGGTCCCTGGACCACACTCTGAGAACCACAGGGTGGTAGGCGCATCAGCATGGCCAGGATGTTGTGCCCAGTGGATAGATGCAGGGTGGCTCCAAAGACAGGGGGGCTTCTTTGAAGCTATGCCAGTGACCCAGGTGAGAGAGACAGGACTCTGAGACAGACTCCAGCAGAGGTACTGGAGAACAGAAGGGGGGATCCAGACATGCGACAGGTGATCAGTGGGCAGGTGGGAGGAGAGGGAGGAGTCAGAGCAGCCGGAAGAATGGAAATGCCATGGACTGGGACGGCCATGGGGTGGGGAAGGGGAATAGCATGTTCCCTTTGGGACCTGCTGGCTTGAGGACCTGCTAATGGGACCTGCAGATGGAGGTGTTAAGGAGGCAGTTGGAAATACAGTTCAGAACTCCGGAGAAATCTGAGTGGTGGATCCAGATTCTAGGGTCTTCCAGGTGGCGGCGTGAGCTGACGCAATGGGGCTGAATAAGATTCGTTAAGGGCAGCTCGTTAAAGGGAAAGAGCGGTGCTGTGCTCAGAAGGAAGCCAAGAGGCCCTCGCTTGTAGCGGGGCAGAGAAAGAGACAAGGGGTGTGCCCCAAGGCACGTGAAGACACAAGGCATTACTGGGCAGGGGCAGTACCAGATGTTGGAGCATCTCAAAAACTGGGCCAGAATCTGACCAACTCTGGGGACTCCTTAAAAGAACCAACCCCAAGAGAGGGGTTGTGTTTGAGGTGTGAGTTAGAGGAGCTGGTCTACGTACTTCGAAGTCCCAATGTTTATTTTGCCCTAGTGATAGTCATTTTATGGCCATATTGGTGGAATGTGCATAAGCAAAAAGAAGTACACATGCTGTGTACACGCGCGGGGCATAGTAGCCATCTGAGACCGAAGAAAACTATGGGGAGCACTGTAGTGGTCCAGGCTGAAGCTGGGGGTCACTTTCTGCCCCTCTAAGCTGAGCCCCAAGGAGGAAAGGCACCATGCATTCATTCATCTTTTTTCCTGTCTGGACTTGAGCCTGATCCAAATCCTCCTGGGACCTTGAATTCACTGCTTTTACAAGGATTAAAAGGATTCTGACAATGTTTTTTAAAACTGTTTGTGCAAAAATGCTATAGAGAAAATCAATTTCTATGCACTGAGAGTCCTCAGTTGGTAATTTGGTGTTTCATAGATGGACAGTTCGCTTTTTAATTTGTGGTGCTTGTGTAGTCATCTGGGGCTTGGCAAACCCTGGTGTTTGGGGACACAAGGATGAAGTTCAACAAGTCCCTGAATAAGGCTGATGACACAGGGCCCGACTTCTCAGGTGGCCCCCAGGCAGGACTGCTGGAGGTGGGAACCCACGCTGAGTGTGTGACCTGTGCTCTGTCTTTGCAGTTCTGCGCGGAGCTCAACCAGCCCATCCTGCCCAACATCCGCAAGTGGAAGGGGCCCCGGGGATGCTGGAAAGCCGTCGTTGCTGAGAAGCCCTCCAGTCAGCTCCAGAAGGTGCCCTCATCTGCAAAACCTGGCCTTTCTCTTCATTTTATTTAAACATACTTTTTCCTCTAATCAAGGGCACTTAAAAATTTCTTTTGCCAATATCTTGATGCATTTTTGCACTTCTGCCCAGTTTTTAAATCATTGCCATTCATTTCTAAATGCCCTGGTTCTCGTTTCATGTTTAGATCAGGAATGGATTCCTGCCCAGACGGAAACGGGGGCTCAGGGTGTTGGGAGGAGAGGAGAAATCCTGTTCTGGGCCAAGGCGGCAAATGGGTATTTCTGTCCTTTGTCCTTAGAATCCCTTTGCCACAGTTCTGTCCACGGCCAAGTTTGTGGAGAGCCCATTATTTGTGGACTGAAAACTTCAGATTCACCTTGGATCATACATGCATGAAGTATTCGCTTTCAGTGGTGGAAAATGTGCACATAGAAATGTTCCATTGAAATTTTCAGCAGATTTTGATTTTGAATTTTCTTTCATCAGTATCACCCATTTGGATGTGGGCAAATCTCTGAATGTGTACATTTTCCCTGTTACATATCATATTAAGACCAGATTTACTCACCATGGAATGTTTAATATCAGTGGAGTTTTAGATTTTCAAAAGGCTTCTGAAAAGTAATCATGAGTTGAAAAAAATGTGTCATTATATAATTTTCCTATAAATGCAGATTTTTAAATCTTTAGTATAAGTTTACTATGCTTACAAACATGTGGATTATACTTACAGGACTGATTTTTATAATCTGGGTGCTTAAATCACAAATGTGTCCTGGATTCATTCTGTCACCCTAGGCTGGAGCACAGTGGTGTAATCATAGCTCACTGTAGCCTTGAACCCCTGGGCTCAAATGATCCTCCTGCCTCAGCCTCCCTATCAGCTGGGACTACAGGTGCACACCACCACGCCCAGCTAATTTTTAATTTTTTTATGTTCTCAGGCTGGTCTCAAACTCCTAGCCTCGAGCAATTCTCCCACCTTGGCCCTGGGGAGTGCTGGGATTACAGGCTTGAGCTACCACGCCCGGTCCACTTGCTTTGTTAATAGCACTTTATATGTATGTAGGTGTCTAAGGGTTCACAAGGCTTTTATTGTCCGTTCAGTACACTCTATTCTTTCATTCGACAAGTTATTAATGAAGGTTACTATGTACCAGGCACTGTGTTCTGTGCCAGATAGCCATTGGTGAGAAAAACAGACCCAGCTGTCCAGCCCTGCATGGTTTACTCTTTGTAAGAGCCAGTGAGAATCCCAGCCTGACCTGGCCCCTCCCTCAGGGAGGTCACAGCCTAATGGAGGGACAAGACAAGTAACCCTACTCCAGGTTGGGGCATCAAGGCCATTGGAAAATAACACGAGGTTTGAGTTCCATCCATTCAAACCTCTCAGCCTCAATTCCTCCATCTGTAAAATGGGAGCAGTAGCTCTTCCTTAGCTCACAAGGCGGCTATGGGAGTTAAAAAGGTAATGTGCATTGGAATGCGTCAGTGGCAGGGCACGGGCTGGGTCCTGGCAGGACGTGTGCGAGGCAGCAGGCTGGCCGGCTGCGCTGGACTGAGAGCTCACGCCTGCCTCAGTGTGCGGCTGGGTCCATGCCTGGGCAGTTGTTGCCATGGAGTAGTGTGGGCCCAGTGTGGCCAAATCTCCCAGTTTCATTTTAGTGGGAAATTTCATGAATTTTAAACCCATGGACAGATAATCCAAAAAAATTTTTCAAAACACTATGTGAATCAAACGAAATATATCTGTTGATGGTGAATGTTCGGTCTCTTCTCGAGACAAGCATGAGAAAGTGGTAGCATCCGCTGCCATTTCTCCATTGCCTGAAATCATTGTGCCCAGGCACCTTCTGTCCGGTTCCCTCGTCCTCATATCATAGCTGGTGGGGCAGCTGTGAAAATGGAGACCAAGTAAGATGAAACGTTTTGCTCAAATTTACCCTTTTGCTGTGTGAGGTGTGGCTTGGACGTGAGCCCTGTTCACTCTTTCCAGCTGGAAAGTCTGCGCTGTTCTGGAGGGGGGTGGGGTGCCTCACCCAGGGGGAGCAGGACAGGCTCCCAGGAGGGGGTGGAAAGCCAGGGGTGGAGAGCGTGGGGGGCAGGCTGGGCAGCCTGAGGGGCAGTGCTGAAGAGGAAGCCACACACCCACCGCAGAGGGGGGCACTGGGAGCCACTGAGGGATGTTAGGCAGAAGGTGACCTGGGCCGTGCTTCAGGTGGGTCACTCCAGCACCGCAGCTGGGGAGATAAGCCCCCAGGCCAACAGGGCAGTCAGATTTACCTCACTTCACATGTGAGGAAACTGAGGTTTAGAAAAAACCGAGTGGCTCGCCAGCGTGCCCCGGCTAAGTGACTCAGGTGGGACTGAGATGCGGGTCTTCTAATTCTTAAACCAATGCTGCGTCCCCAGTGGGTGGGCAAGGAGATAATGCTAAAATATAGAAATGCACAGCATGCAAAACGCCGTTCCTCCCATCATTCCCTCCCTCCCCTAAAAACATGCCTGTCAGGTGTGTGGCTTAGACCTGAGCTGACACTGGGGACTTAGTGGCAGCTGCTCAGGAGGACGGTTGTGCAGAGTCACTTCCCCTCCTTTTGCAATGAGTAGGAGCGGTGATGAGCATCCCTGGCCGCTGGGAAGCCACGCCGACCGCTCCCGAGCGGCAGGCACTGAGGAAGTGCTCTTGTGGCCAGGGAGCCTCCGGAGGCCGGGCTGGGGTGGGAGAAGCGTGTCCTCCTCCCAAGAGTGGCAGCAGTGCGAAGCAGGCAGATTCGGAGGGGCAGGGGTTTAGCACCAGGCCCAGGGACTCTGTCCCATGCCCGCCCTCACGGCCCCTAACCAGGCTTCAGGACTCTATGTGGCCCTGCCCACCCGCGGAGGGCCCTTGACCAGTTCCAAACCATGAGGACTATTAGCTCTGACCTCCACTCACCCAGCAGGTATTGATTGAGCTTCTACCAGGTGCCAGGCACCACTTGTTGTAAGCAGCAGCTAATCAGTAACCAATCCCGTCCCTTGGAGTCTTGTTATGCTCAGCATTGCCGTTTACAGCTGTGGGCTTTTAGGGAAGTTACTTAACTTCTCTGAACAGCAGTGTGTCCTCATCTGGCAAATGAGGGTGTGAATTGCTACCTTGTGGGATGTGATGATTTAAAATAAAGATAACTCTGTGGCTAGTCTGGGCTTCCCCCAAAAAGAGAAGAACCCAAGCGTCCCGGGCTGCATCTAAAGCTCTGGGATTGGCAGTGTATGAAATTACTTGGGCAGGGTGGGGGCAGGGAGTGGCAGGGGACAAGGGAGAGCGTCGGTGGCTTTCGTAGTGTGCATTTGGTTTAGAAACAGCCCCTGTGCGAGTGATCTTGGGACCCGGAGCAGAGCCTGCTGCTGTCTTCGTCTCTTCTGGCCTCTCCTGCCGGCTCCCCAGTGCTGGGCTGCACCGTGCGGCGTTAGGACTCTGGTACCAAGACCCTGTCTCCCTCTCCGCTGCAGGGGGCTGGGTACTCGGGGTTCCTGTGGGACGCGGCGGCTGGTGTGGAGCTGAGAGACGCCACTTCACAGGAGAACTCGCCCAGCAACGGGCACGGGAGACCCACGGGCCCCAGCCCGTACCTCGCGAGGTTCAAGGTACCTGCTTCTTTCTAAAAAGGAAAAAAAAAAAAAAGTCTCGTTTTGTAAAACCGTAAATGACAGAAGCCTCCTCTTTTTCCCTTGGTTTTATTCTCTCAGGGTTGGGTCTGCACCTGCTCCTGGGGCTTCCTTGGCAGGTGAACTTGTCCCAGCCAGCAATGAAAGGGATTTTAAGGGGCTCTGAACCCAGATAACTGTGACATCAGGGGGCAGCTCCTAAACCAGACACATACCCTGACACTCGGGAGATTTTTTTTCAAACAGGGATTCCTAGACCCCACCCCGGACACACAGAATTTCCGGGATGGGGCCGTGGACTGTCTGCCTTTTACAAGTGCCGTCAGCCGTTCTTCAGCCCTCCCGGTGCTGGTTAGCACGGCCCGGCGTGTGGCAGGGGCTGGATTCGAGGGCAGCAGAACTGCCCTTCTCCTCAGCTGCTTCCTTTATTACTGGGGGAAGGGGACCCTCTAGGAGTTTGAAGGGGACTCAGAAGGCACCCCAGGCTGTGGGCCAGGAACAGCCCCATCACTGGCGTCAACCAAACAGGCATTTCTGTCTCACCAGCGTCTAGGAACAGCCACGCAGGTCGACCTGAGTGCCGTCTCTCTGATTCCCTCTCGGTGCCCTTGGGAAGTGTTAATGAACCGCAAAGTGGTCAGAAGCTGGCAGCAGGAGGGAGGAGAAGCCAGGGGCCAAAACTGGTGGCTGAGTTGGCAGGCAGTGAATACTGTCCCCATAGCACTCAATTATGAGGTCACAGGTCAGGCAAGAGTGGTCCCTGCCACAGAGTCCAGCAAGCCCACCCGCTGGGCTCGTGAGACCTCTGTTTTCTCAGAGCAGTTCTCAAGCCTGAGAGTCTCCTCGAACCCCAACACAGTTTATCTCTGGCAGTTGAGGGGGCTGGAAGGCCATGCACCACCTCACACTCGTAGCTGCAGAGTGGATGGTGGTGGGTGTGTGCATACATTGGGTATCTTTGTACCCAGTGGCGCCTCTCATAGCCCGCTCTGCGGCAGTGGTGGGGCTCTGTCTGCACACATACACCTGGGGGTGTCTGTGGGTTGTACTTGTGGTACTAATGGATCAATCAGCCAGGTATCACCTTTAAAACCTCCTAAGATCATACCGGGTCCCCTTACTATGCCAGGTGACTGTTCTGGCTTTGGCCAAGCAGTGCTATGGCCAGAACCTGCCAGTGTCACTAAAAGGCAGGCTGTTTTCAGTGGGCTAATGAGACAATGCTGTCGTGGCATGAGGATTGGCCCAAACCCTCTAAATAAAGCAGCGGCCTAGACAGGCACTTGGCCTGTTGTACTTTCTGGCACATTCCAGGCCAGGTGAGTGGTAAGGTACAGAGGTGGCTTATCGCTTCAGGCAGTGTGTCCCCCTCCCGGCCTTAAGGTTGTTTCTCCTGTGCTCAGAGCCGCAGCTGCAGAGCTCTCGGTCCTGGGTGGTGGTGACGGCAAGCTGGGACCACATCCGGAAGACGAGACTGGCACCCTCCACTTCCTGGGAGCTCCCCCTACACCCCTTCCCTTCCTGGCAGTGTTTATGCTGGTTACCATGACAAACGGAAGGGCAGGATTGCCAAAGCCTGTGCAGCTGAGTAATGCTGCCATGCCCAGGGGACAGACTCTGACCTCATGTTTCCGTGCCTGCACACCACAGGACCTGCCCTTGGGGACGCAGGACTGGGCCGTGTCCTGGGCCACCAGATTCTGCAAGCTTGTGGTTTGGACATGTTTGGAATCAGGTTAAAGTGAGCATCAGGGCATAGCGGGCCCCAGATGGGAGCGTGTGGGATGTGTGTGGAGGGGAGGAGGATCCCGGCAGTGGGTCCTGGCAGGAGACCTCAGCTGGCCTATGGGGCCAACAACCCCAAATCTTTGATAACAACCAGATGCCAGAGCCACCTCTTTCTTACATATGATTGCTTAAAAGGAAGAAAAAAAGACCAACAGAAAATTCCAGATATACCCAATTTTTTAAGCCTTAAGGAAGAGTGGGGGTAGGATGTTGAACTCGTAGAGCCAAACAGGTCTTACTCCTGCAGGTGCCTGGGAAAAATCTAAGCCGAGGCACCTCGCATTATCTCCTGGGGGTGTGAGCGAGCTTTGTTTTGTTTACCATTGCCAACTGTGTGCATGAAGCTATTTATGGGTCGGTTGTAACGGATACAGGAAATATGAGCATCTAAGCCTTTCCCTGTTGCTTTGTTTCCTGCTGCCCAGGTGGGAAGTAATGACTTGACCCTTGTTAACCTTCACCTGGCAGCCCTGACCCTGCCAGGGGCTGAGAATCCATGCAAGAACCACGGTGACGGCCACCGGGTGGCGAGCTTCGCACAGACCCTACAGGAAACCCTGAAAGGTAGGAAATTGCCTTTCACCGTGGGTCGGCCACACTTCTGCAGGGCAGGCACCGGCGCCTCTTCCAAGCCATCTCCCTGGTCGTGGGTACAGGGGACAGTCAAACTCCCTGCGTCTCATGGAGCCTAGCCGACCCCGTGCAGGGGCACATCTTTGTCTCTGTGAGCCTGGCATGTGGGTTCCAAAATGCGAGCCTAGCTTTGTGGCCTCTCAGCCTGTCTTGGATGGAAATGATTAAGGAGGGAGTATAAGTAATGACGCCCTTCCCCCAAGACAGCTCATCCAGGGCCTGGCTGCCATGGGTGCCGCTCTGGGGTGCCACTTATAGATTGTGTGTTCTCTCCTTATGAAACAGTGACAGGAGGTGACAAGGGGAAGTGATGAATTCCTGATTATTGGCGAATTGAGATTTTCTTTCTGGTGGGATGCAGGTCACGTTCAAGGAGCCTTGAACCTGTTAGAAAAGCTTTGTTTTAATCCTGTAGGACTTCAGGCGAGTCCAAACCACTCCAAGCCCCTGTCTGATGGGGGAACTGACGGTCCTTACTCACAGGAGTACCCAGAGGGCCAAGTAACAGTGCTGCGGAAGTGACAAGCACTTAGTAGGGACTCTGGGCACGTGAGTTGACTCTAAAATACCAGAAGAATTAAGAGAACCCTGGAAAGAGCAGAACTCCAGGAGAAAGATGGGTGCTTGGTTTTTCAGGCTCCGGCCCAGGAAATACAGAGGGTCTTCTGTGCTTGGCTTCCCAGAAGGAAAAGTCGACAAGGCTGTAAAGACTGTGATCTTTTCAGCTTGGCTTGATTTTTCAGAACACCAACCTTCTCTAGGCGAGAGTTTGCAGCTGGAGGCCTAGGATTCTCCTCTGTATTCTGAGTCCTGCCCCATATCCCCCAGCTTTCTAAGACTTTTCCTTGTTAAGTTGGCCCCTCCCGATGGGTGATTCGTGAAGATTCGGCTACAAAAATATTTCAGTCAACTACAAGCTTACATTTTAGATTTTTTTTTATTGTGATAAAGTATACGTAACATAAAATTGACCATTTAGATTGTTAAGTGTACCATTCAGTGGCATGGAGCGCATTCACGCTGTTGTGCAACCATCCTGCCATTCGTCTCCAGTTTCCCAAATGGAAACTGTACACCCATTAAACACTAACTTCCCACAGTCCCTGGCACCCACCGTTCTACTTTGGGACTTCATACAAGTGGAAGAATACGATATTTGTCTTTGTATGTCTGGCTTATTTCACTTAGCGTAACGTCTTCAAGGTTCATCCATGTCGTAGCATATGTCAGGATTTCCCTCCTTATCGCGACCAAATAATATTCCGTTGTATATACACACACTCCGTTGTGTTGTTCATCCGTTCATCCGTTGGTGGACCCTTGGGTGGCTTCCACCTTTGAGCCATCGTGAATAATGCTGCTATGAACATTGGCGTGCAAGCTTCTGTTTTGAACCAGGACATGTTCTGACCAGTGCTCTACTTAAACGATGAGTCCTGGGGCTAAAAAAAGGCAGACGAGATATTTAAGCTCCATCCAAGAAGCAGCTATGTTAAAAAGGATGATTTGATAGCTTTTCCCATCTGTAGACAGTTCTATTGTTCTCAATCTCAAACATTTCCTTTTTTTTTTTTTTTTTACTATGGAAGCAGGAAAGAAAAATGCCAGTTCATAACTTCTTTCTTTCTTTTTTTTTCTTTTTTTTTTATTTGAGACAGAGTCTTACTTTGTCACCTGGGTTAGAGTGCTGTGGTGTTAGCCTAGCTCACAGTAACCTCAAATTCCTGGGCTCAAGCGATCCTCCTGCCTCAGCCTCCTGAGTAGCTGGGACTACAGGCACATGCCACCACACCTGGCTAATTTTTTCTATTTTAGTAGAGACGGGGTCTCACTCTTGCTCAGGCTGGTCTTGAGCTCCTGAGCTCAAGTGATCCTCCCACCTCGGCCTCTCAGAGTGCTAGGATTACAGGTGTGAGCCACCGCACCTGGCCTTCATAACTTATAATAGCCTTAGGCAGTCACTGTTTTTACCCCCTGATATTCATGGAGTGGTCAGGTTTTTGTCAGAAAAACTCGGGCAAGTTACTTTTCCAAGTTGCCAAGGGACTATTGACCCAGACAGCCTACTCAGCCTTGACATCTAGGTAGGGACAGTGACTCATGCTCCCCGTGTTCCCCTGCTTTTAACCAATATCCAATTAATTGTTAACTGGTGACACTTCAGACCCAGGCATTCAGGAAGTGCTCCAGTCTGCCCAGGTCTAACAAAGGTAAATAGATTAGCAGGGGGGTTTGGCTAAAACAAAGACAAAGCCTTCATTCCACAGGCTTCTATCAGAGCAAACAGAACCGATTTGGTGAGCAAACTCTGGGCCTTTCTGCCTTTGTCTGGAATGTGCACCCAGGTTGACGTCAGCGGGTAGTACGCCAGTACCCTGGTGGAATTTTCTAATTTCAGACCTGACCAGGGCTTGAGGACAGGGTTTCTCTCTGTGAACTCAGCAAGAGTGAGACAGGATGCGTGGTAACGATTGACGTCTGGCTGGATGGTCCCTCAGTGGGAACCAGTTCCTGCTGTTGTCAGTGGCAGTTTATAAATCTGGGGACTCTCTGAGGCAGTCAGCCCCCAGCATTCTCCCCTCACTTCTGGGAACCAAGGGAACGATGAAGGAGCCCACCCCGGGCACGTGGCTTTCTAGGAGGGGAATTCAGGCTTCTGCGCACTGTGGATTATCAGAGGCATGAACTGCCTTGATGTCATCACCAACGCAGATTTAACCAAAAGAACACGAGTTGTGAGAAATCTGGTTGTGCTCATTCAAGAAGAGAACTGTTGTTTTCATTCCTGAAGTTCCCCAGAGCTGGGTTTATTGACTCTTTTTTTATTTTCAATCAAGTCTCATGCAGAAAGGTTTATTGTCCATTGTTGACACCAGCGTCTGTCCTGGTTTCAGAATTACCTTTTCTGGCCAAACTTTGTCAGGTCTGCATCCCAGTGAAAACCTCTCCCTCATTAGACGAGAACCTGCTGCTTTCAGTCTTTCATAACCTTCAGTTTTCCTTGATATCCAATAAATGTAGCACCTTTCTCTTCCTTTCAAAATCAAACTGCACCCTGATTCCGAGGTATTCCTCGTGCCTCGTGCACTCACCTGTAGAGCACGTACTTGTCGAGGATCTGCCAGTGCAGCAGGCACTGTTCCTGCACTTGGTGCGTTGCAGCAAACGGCAGCCGCATCCTGGTGTCTCTTCCATTCTTGCTATTTGCAAAGAGCTCTGGAGTTGAGGGCCGGCTCGGTGACTTTGGGCAAGCCATTCAAGCTCACAGAGCCCCAGCCTCCTACCTGCAGACAAGAGATGGTAATAGCACCTACCCCACGGGGTTGTGGCCATTACATGATGTGCTGTCGAGGAAGTGGTTGGCACAGTGTCGGACACACGGTGAGGGCTCAGTGAACCACTATCAGTGCTAGCCAGGTAAGAGTTGTGACCATTAATATTATCCTCAAGCGGGCTTCCTGTCAAAAGTTGGCACCGATTTCCCAAGACACCTTGGGCTCAGCCTGATTTGGGTGTCCCTGTTGCTGGGATCTGGTGTGCGCGGGGCCACACGGTGGAGCTCAGAGAGGCTTCCGTGTGGCACCTCTGGGAGGAGGCACCACCTGCAGTGTGCGAGCGTCCTCTACCGGTGGCTCAGGTCGGTTCACTTTGGCCTTCTTTCCCTCTAGCTGTTACTGCTTGAAGCATCCTCACATCAAGGAAAAAGATTTGCTAATCGTCTCGGTCAGATACATTTATGATTTTGTTTATGAGCTGCTTTCCTTAAAGCCTCCCTCAAAAGGTGTGACAGAAACGCCGCCCCGCGGCAGCCTGGCTCTCCTGAAGTGAACTCTCAACAGGAGGGTCAGGCAGAGTCCAGAAGAGTCCTGCGGAGCCTACCGGAGTTTCTACTGGCTTTGCTTGGAAAATCCTTACTTTATATCCATCCCACTTCTGCCAGGGTAAATGGGACTGTGGGAGAAATGTCTACAATACTTGAGAGGGAAAGCCTTTCCGCTTTGGCCCTGCAGTCACTTTGTAGTCCTTACTTATACACAAACACTTGACGTCTGCTGGGCGTCTCTCTGGCAAACTTTTGGGAATCTGGATCAGGAGACTTGCAGGGAAGGGGGCCTGAGCTACACGTGAGGTGCCCCGTGCACTCTGGGTAGCTCCTCTGACCCTGACACCTGGGAGGAGAGGGATCTTTCTCCCCTTTTTATGGACCAAGGTCACCAGGCTGGGGAGTGGCAAAGCCCAGACTGTACTCAGAGTCACCCGGCTGTCTTCTTTAGAACTGGGGCCAAGAGCCACTGTTTTCAAACATGCTACCCTGTGGTGTTTTGTTTCATTTTCAGTAACTCTCCGTGACACTCTTCCTCCTCTAGTAAATTTGGCTTAATAAGGTGAAACAAGGAATTGGGAGAAAAAGACACAAAAGTATCTCTGCTTTTAGAGAACATGATTGTCAGTTTGTTATACCTAAAGTTAAAAAAAAAAAAATTCGTCCCTGTAAGAGAATTAAGAAAACTGCCTAGTTACAAAATAAAATACAATAATTAATAACTCTTTATTTCAGCATATTATGGGGGTACACATGTTTAGGTTACGTATGTTGCCCTTGCCCCCCAAGTCCGAGCTTCAAGCATGTCCATCCCCCAGATGGTGCGCGTCACACTCTTTGTGTATGCATATGCCCATCCCCTCCTCCCTCCTCCCCCATCCCCGACATCCAATAGATGTTATTCTTATATGTGCACTTATGTGTTGATCAGTTAATACCAATTTCATGGTGAGTACATGTGGTGCTTGTTTTTCCATTCTTGGGATACTTCACTTAGTAGAATGTGTTCCAGCTCTATCCAGGAGAATATAAGAGGTGCTATATCACCATTGTTTCTTAAAGCTGAATGGTACTCCACGGTATACATATACCACATTTTATTTTTATATATATCAAAAGTTATTGATAAAATAACTTTTGATATATATAAACAATAACCAGTTAGAAAATATAATGAAAGAAAGCAAAGATCTCATTCATAATAAAAATGAAAAATATTAAAATACTTAGAAATATGGTGGTCTCCGAATGTGTCTTTATTTTTGCACCTACACTGAAGAATATAAAGAAGAAAACTTGAATAAAGAGAGAAACATGGCGTATTGTTCTCGGGCAAGAAGACACCCATCCTTACCATAGTTCTGTGCAGTTCACTGCACAGGTTTTGGCCGGGCTCCTTAGTGTCCCAGGGTGCCCGGACATAGAACCCACTGAGAGCACCAGGGGTGCTAAATCAGAACTGCTCTGGATGGAACCCTGATTTCTGGGAGTGAGACTCAAGAATATTTTTTGGAGCCCTGACACCCCAAGAGCTCGTTAAAGAGCCCCCCTCCCACTTCAATCAGAGCAGCTCCACTTTCAGCCACTCAACTTTTGGGGCTTCTTACAGGATTTCATTTGAGAAAAGGAATCCCTCATTTAAAAAAGAAAAAAAATGTTTGAAAACTGCTGATTTGAAGCAAATCCATCTCTAGGATATATTGACAAGTAGAAAAAATAAGGTAGGAACTGGTAGATAAAGTTGCTATGATTTGTGTGAAAATAGATACACACGTGTCCTCATATATGTGCAGAGTATCTAGAAGGAGACACAGGGAGCGGCGAACGGCCTCCTCTGGCCAGCCAGGGATGGGAATGTTAATGTTTATATGAGTTTAATTTAAAAAATGTTTATAATCAAATTTTCAATATCATGAGATTATATAAACATTTGTAACGAAAGACTATTAAAACATACTGTGGCATTAGCTCAAGGATGGGTCGAGAGGATAGAATAAAGCTCAGAAAGAGATGCATTCATTATACATGAGATTTTTAAAATAACAGATTGATATCAAATTTAGTGGAGAAAGAAAGAAATCTTCAAGAAACCATACTGGCAGAAGAGGTTAATTGTTTGTGGGAAAAATTAAAGTAAATCCCAGGCAAGTTAAAGAGCGAAATGTAAGAAATGAAACCATAAAACAAACTTAGTGAATATTTGTTTGATTTTAGAAGTACTCTGGGAAAATTTTGTTAGACCTACATAAAAAGATTTTTATTTAACTTCTGTGTGCTTCAGTTTGGTCATAGGCCAAATGAAAAGGCAAATGGCAAATTAGAAAAAAAAAATGGTCCCTATATATAACAAAGGGTTAATATTCTTAATATATGGAGAGTTCATATTAATAAATAAAACACTAACACACTGTACAAAGAATAGGCACAAGAAGTACACCTAGCACCCAGGTCTTGGTTTCTAACACCATTCTCTGATAAAAGGAACAAGGGCTCCTTGGAGAAATGGCTAATTCTAGGACTGGGGCAGAAAATATGCAGGACGATCTTTGAACATCTTAAGAGTATCAGGAAGAAATGCTCAGAAAACAAAAGGGCACAGGAACCAACTGAAAGCGCTCCCAGTGACCCAAGCTGGAAAAATTAGAGCAACAAAGTAAATAACATAATTTTGGATTATAACTCAAAGCATAAAATAAGTATCCATGAATCTATACCAATATAAATAAACAATTGAATAAATTAATAAATGAGGAAGAACAGATAAATCTCTCGTACAGCAGGATTCCAATTATTTTTTTATTTTTATTTATTTTTTTTTGGACAGAGTCTTGCTCTATTGACCCAGCTAGAGTACAGTGGCATCAGCCTAGCTCACAGCAACCTCAAACTCCTGGGCTCAAGCCATCCTCCTGCCTCAGCCTCCTAAGTAGCTGGGACTACAGGCATGCGCCACCATGCCCAACTAACTTTTTCTATTTTTAGTAGAGACAGGGTCTCGCTCTTGCCCAGGCTGGTCTCAAACTCCTGAGCTCACGTGACGGTCCCACCTCAGCCTCCCAGAGTGCTGGGATTACAGGCGTGAGCCACCGTGCCAGGCATCCAAATAATTTAAGAAGATACTCCAACCTCAAAGAGAGGGAACATAATTTACTTTTCCATAAATTGAAAGATGCCACTTTCACACATCTAGTTAATTTTTTAGTGATAATACACAGTGTTGCTGAGGGGTGCAGTCAGAGGAACTTCCTTACATTGCTGGAGAGGATTCAAATTGGAGCAGCCTTTGGAAAAGTAGCTGGCAGTATTTACCCAGAATCTTAACCATGGCCATACTTTTTAACTGCAACTCTATAGGGTACAGGACAGAATGCAGGAACATAGATACTAGAATGAGATAGATACCCACTTCAGCATTATTTATACCCTTGACTACTAGGGACAGCCTTAGAGATGACCCACAGCAGGAGAATGGTAAATTACATACATCAACACGGTGGATGGCTGCTATGGGCTGTCCATTGGATGCCAGGAAGACCCAGCCTTTTCCCCTAGTCTATTGATCTGAATTTGACCATCAGGCAGATAGAGCACACCTTCTAATCAAGAGTAGCTGCTGTGTACATCTCCAGCCTCTTCTTTAACATCTGGCTTCTGTATACCTCATACTATAGAAGCACCCAACTATACATAAGGTACCCACCCCCTACTCCCACCTCCAGGAAACCAGGCTGTTTCTTAACTCCCTGCTTTTGCATGGGTTACCTGTCATCCTTGTTGACCTGAGCACTCTCCTGTGCATCCTCTAAGACCCAAATCAGTCATTGCCTCTTTCAGAGAGCCTTGCCTGACCACCTTTCCCTATGTTATGTTGGTCTCCGAATGTGTCTTTATTTTTGCACCTACACTCTGTTCTAATCTGTTTTCTAGTCTGTCTCTCCCATTAGACTGTGTGAGCTCCCAGAGAGCAGAAGTTGTGTTTTATTCAACTCTGAATCTCCTGCACAGTAGGTGCTCAGTTAATGTTTGTTGAGCATTTGTTAAATACCTGGGCAAGACCCCTAGGCCTTTTTTTGCTGTAAGATTTGGACTCCATGAGCTTGAACAAGGGTGATTTCTGTATCATACCACGCTTTATTTCCAAATGTGTCACTAACCTACTCTTAATATTTGCACAAGAAATTTGGAAAAATTGGGAGAGTGAGACCCATGTTGCAGTCCTAACCCTGGGGAATCAAATCAGAGAGACACAATCCCATTTCAGCAGGCTGTGCTTAGTGTTGGGTTTTACTTCCCAACAACTCATGAATTCTTCACATTTTTCCTTCCACTTCCAGGAGAAAAAGACGTGATTATTTTAGGGGATTTCGGCCAAGGGCCAGACAGCAATGACTATGATATGCTGAGGAAAGAAAAATTCCACCACCTGATCCCTGCACACACCTTCACCAACATCAGCACCAAGAATCCTCAAGGCTCAAAGTCTCTGGACAACATCTGGATCAGTAAAAGCTTAAAGAAAATGTTCACAGGTAAGGCAAAGCTCACGCGTTCTTTCTCCCGTTCAGAAGTAGAGTTAGAGGAACATGTCTGAACCTACAGAAATTATCTTCTTTTGTGGGTTACTGTATAATTTTCATTCAAACAGAGACACTTTTAAGGAGGGGGTGACAAATAATTAAAAGGCACCCCCTGATCTACAAGGGAAAACGGGGTGTGTCCCAGCAAACCTGGTTATAGGCTAGCAGAGTCCTGATTCAGAGATGAGCTGATAACTTGCCCCAATTTTAAGGACGCTTATTTGTTCAGCAAACATTTGTCAAACGTTCAGGCACCGGATGGTGGAAGGTGGTGCACCAACACGCTGCCTGGGTAGACGTGTCGTGAAAGAACGGGAGAAGTGCCCAGTGCTCCACAAGGATCAGGATGTGGTGGGTCATCTCAGCCCCGAAAAGCAGTCATCCTCCCCCAAAATACCAACCTGCTGCGTCAGGAGACAGCAATGTGGCAGAGACAGTAGGATCTTTTGATGAAAGATAAGAATAGTGGTTCTAAAGTCTGCTCAAAGCTTTACAACGTCTCAACATGTGCATACTATGCTTTAATGAGAAATTCAAAAATAAGAAAAATACCAATGCCTGGGTCCCACTGCAAGAGAGTCTGACATGCATCTGGGGCAAAGATCCTCAGGATGAGGACTTCTAGTCTCGACTGTGTCACCTGCTTCTCCTACCTCTCTCTGGGCACTGATTTCCTGTTGGACTCTGTCATGGGAGGATCCAAATGATGAAGGAAGTGGGTCTCAGAGGAGTGACAATCGTCACACTAAGCGAGGCACAGTTTGCAGAACGTGCTGTTGGCCAGGAGGAGAGGCCAGCCTGCCGCCAGCCCAGGCTCCTGGGAGGGCTCCCAGGAAGGTGCCCGGGGAAGGCAGCTGCCCACACAGAGGCAGCTGGGGAAGCCCGGCCCATAGGGCTGGAAGGAAGGTAGAAATCAGTGCATCTGTCCCCTTCCTGTTACGTCGTAGACACTGAGGTACAGGGAGGAGATTCCCCATCTCAGAACTGTTGGCTGGGTGCTCCAGAGCTCAACCCAGGATCCGGGCCTCTGTAGATCTTACGCTGACCTCGACACTGATCATCACTGGGGACCACACAGTGCTTTACTGTTGTGTAATTATTTCTATAACCATTTGTTATTGTTTTCAAATGTACCTCCTGCTTCACATTTCTTAATCTTTATTTTTAAAATACATTCACTGTCTTATTAACCTCTGTAATTTTCTCTTTTTTACCCTTTCTATAGAAAGAATTTATTTTCTCCCTATATGGTGTCTTTTGCTTTGCAAAAATAGGACCTTCACTTTGGGCATCTTTACAGGCCAGGTGTCCCTGCCTTGCTGGTCGAGTTAGCAGTGGTGTCTAAATGAGGAGGAGGTCGGCCCGCGTGCTAGCGCGTGTCTGCACGGGCAGGAGGCCTGGCCTCTGGGTAGTGTCGGTGCCTAAATGTGTCAACCCTGATTCACGTGGCAGATCAAATTGGCCAAAACTGTTTGTTTGCGCGGGCAGGTCAGCTACCTGAGCAGCACTGTTAGGGCACCCCGGCTTGCAGACATGTGGCATCGGCTCCCCACCTGCCAGCCTGGGATCCCACCCACCCCCTGTCCTGATTTCTGGGTCTCTTTTCCCTCTCCCTTCAGGTCACTGGGCTGTTGTGAGAGAGGGTCTCACGAACCCTTGGATTCCGGATAACTGGTCTTGGGGTGGAGTGGCTTCCGAACATTGCCCTGTGCTGGCCGAGTTTTACACTGAAAAGGACTGGAGCAGGAAGGAGGGCCCTCGGAATGGCAACGGGGTCACCTTGGAGCGAAGTGAAGCCAACATCAAGCATGAGCGATGATGACACCAAATCGATATTTGCACCCCCGACCCCAGGAGGACACAGACAAGGAGCTAGCCCTTCCGGGTGAAGATTCAGGGACAGAACTACCTTTTAATCTTCATTCTGAGACGTCAGCACGTGGGCCTTGACCCACTGCCTTCCCTGTGGACGGTTCAGGACCTCCGATGGGGGCGGGGGCGTGCTGGGCACTCGCTACACCAGGCGGTCACATCAGAAGCCCAGTGTAGGACAGAACTGTCTTGTACTCTGTGGACGCCACCGGCCTCAGCAGGACAGGGCCGGCTGTCCGCTGCTGACTGGAGGGCAGCAGCAGGGAACAGTGACAGAGGGGAGAAGGAACGAGAGGCAGCTCTGGCGGCCAGGCCCTGGCTGAGCAGAGCCAGCGTACTCATTTCTGACCACCAAGATGCGATGTTCCAGCTGCACATTACAGAAAGCTTTTAACTGTGATCGAGCACTCTTCTCAAATATTTTGAGTGGTGATTTTTAGTTTTGTTTTGAAAAAATAAACAGAGATTAACCTGCCTGGCTGCAGTGAGAACATGGGAAGGGTCCCCTGCTGCGTGGGTTGCACCACTTCGGATGCGTCTCCTTGGGACTGTGCTCTGGGGACCCTGGGGACCCTGACCACCTCGCCTTTCCCACACCTTTTACACCCACCCCTCGAGACCCTACAGAGGCGCCCCTCAGGCCCCCGTCCACTCGCCTCTATAACATCTTTATTCATCTCCTCCCCCCCAGCCACCCCTGTCTCCACCAGACTGTCCCTTGCCTTGGAGCAACATTCGTGCTTCTGCACACTTAGTAGTCCCCTCTGCAGGACAGGCATTCTAACAGCATGACGTCATTTCCTCCCTCCCTAAAGTTCCCACCAGTAAGTAAATAAATGGGATCCAAACTCAGCACTGAGTCCAAAACCCGTACTCATGTGTCAACTTTATGCTTAACATTAATGTAAAAGTAGAAAAACAAATTGTGAAAAGGTAAGCCATGAGCTTAGATCTAGGTTATTCCAGTTTCCCAGGAAAGCTGAGGGTTTATTCCTCTTTCCACATCAAACAACTCAATGTGGACCAGTATCGAGAACCCGCCTGTCGCCAAGCAGTGTGAACCGAGTGGCTTCTTGGGCCCAGAGCTGATGCACCGTCCTTTTGGGGTCCCTGCCTCCAGGGAGCATCACCGTTCTGGGGTACAGGAAGGAAGCCCTCTTCTGGGGGTTCTGGGGGTGCTTGGGAATCAGCGCTGCCCATTCCAGTGGGCGGGCGAGCAGCTCCTGTCCCGTGGGTTCAGGCTGCGCCTCTGCAGATCTCAAAATGTGAGAGTGACAGCTGAGGCTGGATGGAAAGCAACCGCGTTGGCATTAAAAATCAAGAGGGGCAAGTGGGGCACAAAGGTGGGTGTCTGCAGTCCCAGCTACTTGGGAGGAGCGTTTGAGCCCAGGAGTTCAAGACCTGGGCATCACAGCAAGACCCTGTCTTTAAAAAAAAAAGAGTCAGTGAAGGATGCTGCCAAGCTGAGCACATCGTTTTTGGTGCCTCATCTAAAGTTAAAACCTCCCCTACACTCACCAGCCGGATGCCCCAAATCCTTTTAGCCAGATTTTTTTTTTTTTTTTTGGCACCAAAACTGTGGAAACAAAGGGCTTCTTAAATGATACGAGGGAAAAAGCAATCCGATCAAATGACCTTTGTGAGGGCAACTGGGTTTGAGCCAGGGCCTGGGAGCGGAATGGCGGCCACACCTCACTGGCCCTTTCTGCTCCTGACCCAGCAGTGGGGCCCAGGAAGCCTGCCCGGGGCAGCTGTTCTCACTCCGGCCCAGCCCACGTGGTGTTTGCTTTTTTGGCTTTGGTTTCGGTTTTTACTTTTTTTATTGTTGTTTCTTTAATTAATTGACTTGATTATCTGTAAGAGCATTTTTAGGTTTATAGAAAAATTAGGCACAAAGAACAGAGTATCCCCCCTCGCTTGCGCCCTCCCCACTCTCACATGCTGCATTAGTGTGGGCCTTTGTCACAATCGACGAACCAGTATTGATACGTTATCATTAGCTGCCGTCCGCAGTTGACAGTAAGGTTTGCTCTTTGTGTTATGCATTCTGTGGGTTTTGACAAGCGTATAAAGACGTATATCACATTGCAGTAGCAGACAGAATAGTTTCTCTGATCTAAAAATGGCCTTGCATGCCACATATCTATCCCTCCCTGGAACTCCTGGCAGCCACTGATCTCTCTGCTGTCTCTATAGTTCTGCCTTTTCTGGAGCATTATACATTAATAGTTGGAATCACAGAGTATGTAGCCTTTTCAGACGGGCTTTGTCACTTAGCAACGTGCACTGAGGTTCCTCTGTGTCTTTTTGTGGCCTGATACCTCCTTTCTTCTTCTCCATGAATATATCCCATCCTGTGGAATTTGTCTGCTTGCCTTGGGCTGTCTCCACACCTGCCCTTCTCCAGCGCTTCTGCCCACCCCACCCCAGCTCTGTCCAGGAATGAGGCACTTCTGCTGGCTTCCTCGTCTGCCCTTCCCCCGCCTTCCAGTATTATCTGAGAAGGGGCCTGATTGTTGGAGAAGCCCAGGGAGTCCCCTGATCCTGAACTGGGTTTGGGGGGTGGGGGAAGTGGAGGGATTAAGTGCTAGGAAGCTGTCACAGTGGCAGGCGCCAGGCATCCTCTCTGCTATCACAGGAGCACCAAAGGCATGTGGCGAGCCCCTCCCTTTCTGGCCCTAATGGAACCTCTCCCCTCCTGCCCATTGTCCCCCAGGAGACCTGAGATCAGAGACAGCTCTGTTCTCTTTCTATTCAGGGGACAGTCCAGGGGCCCATGGCCATCTCTATCAGTAGTGCTGGCACCAGCCCCGCCTTGGTCTGTCAACAGATTTAGCAGGGGTGACTCTGAGGGCAGGCAGAAGCCCAAACTATGATGCTTTCTCTGCTGCTCTGGGGACCACAAGAGAGCCAAACGGGCTCGGCCCTGCATAGAGGGCTGCATTCTAGAGTCAGGGATGTCACTTCCTTCTCTGTGTGTCTTTGGTTCTGACAGTGGGAGTTCTCCTCCTCTGGAGATACATCGTTCCCTGGAGTGGCGAGAGCCCCAACACTGGGTTTCAGCGCCAGAGTCTGCACTCTGCCCAGTGTGGCCTGAGTCTCTGCCATCTGTGGAAGGGCAAGGAAGCACAGCTCACCTGAAACCGCCACACGGTTTGTTTTTGGTGGAAAGGAGTCACAGACTTCAGCATTGCTCGCTTATCTTAAACCCATTTTGAAATAATCCTTGCGCACATTGATCAACTCCTTACTGGTCTAAGCACTTTATACTTTTAACTGCTTTAATCCTCAGAAGAATCCAATAAAGTTGGTCCTATCATCTTTCTTCTGTTCCTTTTACAGCTGAGGAAACTGAGGCCCAGAGAGGGCAACCAGGCTAGGGCTGTACAACTAGAAACGGCAGAGCCAGAGTGCCCGCCTGCCAGCGTCGCGCTCACCGTCACGCTCTGCGCCCAGAGGCCACGTGCTTCTGCACAGCCTCAGCGGGACACAAGCTCTTACACCCACAGAGTGGGCGGCACTTCTCCCCTGAGGACCCCAGCAGTGGTGTCATTGCTCTGTGGCCATGTGGTTGGGGTTTGGAGCTGCCAGATCTGGCTTCTGTCCCAGCTCTGCTGTCTGCTATCTGCCGGCCCCTGCATGTCGGATTTGTCTAGCCAAGTCCCAATGTTCTTACCTATTAAATGAGGACAAAACCCCTCTCAGAGGGTTGTGATAAATAAACATCTGTTCAGCTCTTAGCACAGTGTCTGACCACAGGGCCAGTTGCATAATTACAGAGGGAGCCATTTGTTTCAAATGTCCTGACACATCATAAGGGCTCGCTAAGCGGCAGCACTTTAAGAAATTATTTTTATTTTTTATTTTTTTTATTTTTTTATTTTTGAGACAGAGTCTCACTGTGTTGCCTGGGCTAGAGTGCCGTGGTGTCAGCCTAGCTCACAGCAACCTCAAACTCCTGGGCTCAAGCGATCCTCCTGCCTCAGCCTCCCCAGTAGCTGGGACTACAGGCATGCGCCACCATGCTCGGCTAATTTTTTCTATATATTTTTAGTTGTCCAATTAATTTCTTTCTAATTTTTAGTAGAGACGGGGTCTCGCTCTTGCTCATGCTGGTTTCGAACTCCTGAGCTCAAACAATCTGGCCGCCTCGGCCTCCCAGAGAGCTAGGATTACAGGCGTGAGCCACTGCGCCCGGCCAAGAAATTATTTTTAATTGCTTACGTATCAGTGTTTAAATCTTATCCCCAGAGTCCCTCTGTTCCTTCCAACCCAAAGGGGAGCTTGGTGGTTTCCCAACAGCATGCAACCCTACACTTTCCACTGGTCAGGTTGGTTCTGCAGAAGTAAGAATGCCCCACCCAGTGGTACCTGTCACGTGGACACTGATTGTCGCCCCACATTTTATTGAAAAAGACCCAAAGGTTTTCCTGAGGGTCAGACTGCCACTCCCAGGCTCTAGCTGTTCCTGGCAGAGAAACTCGGTGGGGAACTCAGTAAGCCGTCTCCCAGGGCGGCACCCGCATGGCCTTTGAGTTACTCTGAGCACAATGGCAGGTGGCCGCTGGGCGAATGCCTGCAGGGCGATGCTGAGTTTGGCAGGTGTGGCCTTTCCAAGGACACCCATAGAGCAGCCTGCAGGAGCAGACACATTGTGAGAGGAGTTGTGAGGGGCTCTAGAAGGGATGGGCCATATAGAGTTGGGGCAGGTCACTGCGCTTGTAGAGGAATCAGCCAGAAAAGGATTTGAAATGACACATGAACTCATACCTCGGCGAGACCCAGCACTGTGTCTCTGAGTGAAGCAGCCCCTGAGTGCCGCATGGTGTGCCAAGGGAGGCTTTGTCAGTGCAGGAATTGAGGCTTGGGTGGGGGTGAACGCACAAGGGTGTTGGGCAAGCAGAGCTGTGAGGACATAGACACAGACACGTCCCCGTGCCAGATGTGTTAGAGTGCAATGTTTTATTAAGGGAGTTTAAGCCGCCTGCGCCTGTTGGATTTTGGGGTGCCTGTGAGGTCCTAGGGCTGGGCTGGTGCCTGTCCCTGCTTCTCAATGACAGCTCCACACCTGCAAGGCTGCCAAACTGACTCAGATGTTTGCTTGGGCTTCGTTTCTACTTATTACCCCTGAGTAAAGGAATACTTGGATGTTTCCGTTTGAAATGCTGACAATGAGGACCGACCCAGCTCAATACGGCCTTGAGGTTTGATTTCTAAAGTGGTTTGGATCGAGCCATCCCTGGATGTGGGGTGGCTCATCCGCATGTAAACCTCTCTCGGGACCAGGCTGGAGGCTCTGGTGCCCCTTCATTCGGCGCCTTTGGGACCGGACTGAGGCTGGACGCTTCCCTCCTAGGAACTTCACAAACAGCACCCTCTCCAGCCTGCCGGGGCTGCTGCACGACAGCCTGTTGTTAGAAGCACGTAAGGAAGGGAAGGGAGAGCTA